GCAGGAACTGAAAGAATTGAAAAGAAGAAAAACTGGGAAGCCAGAAACAGCAGGATCAAGAGGCGTCCAGCTAAATATCACAGAATTCTACCGTTCGGCCAAAGTGTATGAGACAGAACCTGGAGAAATTCTAACCAAGAAGACAGAACCTGGAGAAATTCTATCAAGTCAGAGAGCTGAAACTAGCAAAGAAAAGAGAAAACCATCAAGCTCAAATCTCCCCAAGTCTGTAAGACGCCGTCTTTTGTTTGACTAAGGCATTTTCAGAATTTGGGCCTCTTGCTGTGGTTTAGTAGGAAAATTAGAAGATGTAAAGTTACCCCTTACTGAGCTTAGCCTGGTGTAATTTCTGTAATTAAATTCTAGGTTTACATAGGGTAGGTGCTGAGCAAAAGTTGCAGGGTTTTGAATCTTCCTTGAGTGCTATGCAAGATTTCTGTTGCGTTTGTTGTTTGTAACATTTTGTATAAAGGTAAATTTGTCATTTTGAGAATTTTTTTTTTAATGAATTCAGCAATTTATAGACGGAATTTTAACGTAATGAGTTATGTAAAAACAATTTGAAACTTCAAAGGGCGTTAGTGTAATTTTCAAAACCTCTTAGATTTTATGAAAACATATAAAACCTCAACAGTTTTACAAATAACTCAAAGGTGGGGAGGGGGGGTGTGTAACGGAAGGTATTAAATAAACAAACATTTTACATGTGAAAGAATTTACAATCTTCTAAACATGGGAAATTCATTAGTGCCCTTGACCTTTTCATTCTATAATTGGCAGTCGTTCGTCAAGATAATTGTCATGCTATATATGCTTTTGACTTTCTCTTGTAGAAATTATTTGAAAAGCTATGGATGCTCAAAGCTATTGCCAACTTATCTGATTTGTTGATATTGTGAGCTTGTGCCTATGTAACAATTGCTCTAATATTTCTGTCATCAAAAGCCAAATTGTAAGAATAAACACAACTCTTTCTTCTGGTAAGTCACAACACATTGAGCATTTCAAAACACTACACAGATGATGGGTTATTTTTTTCTTTAAATTTTATTATTTTTGAAGCCTATAACCCCGGCGTGACGCCATGAGCTATGAGAAGGCCATCTCAATTGAATCTGTGAACAGTTCTAGTCCAAGACTGGAACCTGTCAGTGTTTTGGTTGTTGATGGTGATTCTGCATGTCTTGCAATACTATCAAGAATGCTCTGTAACTTGGGGTATAAGGGTAAACATTTTTTTCTTTTTCTTTTTGTTTGAATTATTTGGTTTCATTATGGAGTCTTAATTGTTTTTCTTTTCCTGCAAACGCAGTCAAAACCCATTTCATTTTTATATTAACATGTAATTAATTAACCATGTAATTCTAATTTCCTTCAGGATTATTATGCTTACCTTGTTTGCCAAGGTAGTTTTAACCATTTGCCACATATGCTATGAGCCTATGACTTCCAAAATTTATCTCTCTCTAACTGTGTTTATTTTTTTGCAAATACAGTTTTTTTTCTAACAGTTTCCTGCTTTACTCTTGCTAGCAGTTATGACAGCCAAAAGAGCCTATGATGCACTATCCATAGCTCAGAAGAAGGAAGATGAGCTTCATCTTGTGCTGACAGAGTCTCACTTGCCTGACATGGATAAATATGAGCTCTTAGAGAAAATGAAAGCAGTTTCCAAAGTACCAGTTGTTAGTAAGTTCTCAGTTTCAAAAACCCATTCATGTTATTACTTTGCACTCACCAGAAAACATTTTATTCATGGAGTTAGGCCTCTCTGATAGCATATGCTGCTGACTTGGTTTTTATTTATTTATGCAGTTATGTCTGATGATGACGACGAGAATGCTATGTTGGGTGGGCTGTTTAAAGGAGCTGTATTTTATTTTGTTAAACCACTCACAATCAACAGCCTAAAAAACCTATGGCAGTTTGCAATCATCAAGAACAGAAATCATGTGGTGATAGATCTCACTGAAGAGGAAAGTAGTGTTTATGGTGAATCCCAGCAGGAGAATACATCAAATGAGGGCTTGGAGAGTGAATCGTTCATGACGAGAGACCGATGGTTGAGAAGAAAAAACCCTGAAGGGACATACAAAGATGAGGAGACAGAGAATTCTGATTCAACTTCCCAAAAGAAGCCGAAGCTAGTTTGGACCAATGAGCTACATAAGAGTTTCTTGCAAGCTGTCAGATTGCTAGGAGTTGATAGTAAGAGCCCCTCTTGATATTGGTTTTGTGATGAACTTTTTATTTTAGTTGGTGCCATTGAAACTAAGACATCTAATTTATTTCTTGATTTAGGTGCTCATCCAAAGAATATACTTCAGCATATGAATGTCCCTGGACTCAGGAAAGAAAATGTTTCAAGCCATTTACAGGTTTACTTCTTTGTTGTATAGGATTCAGTACCTTTAATGCAGGATTTTCAACTTTATATAAGGATAAATAACTTCTTTTTTCGGTCAGTGATTTCTGCAACAATCTTGGTTATCCATTTTTCTTTTTTGAGAGAGAAACATCAACACATTCTTGGCTCTGCACTCCTTTATAAATGTTATTTTTGCAGAAATATCGCCTCTCGTTGAAGCGGGAACAAGAAGCAATCATGAAGGCCAGGGCCAGAGGTCCCAAAAAATCAAATTTCCCATCACACCAATCTTCATCAACATTAAATTTTCGAGGAGGCTGTTCTCAAACCCCGAACCGATACTCGACCTCAACAGCATATCAACCAAAACGCAGAAGCCATGTTCAGGACCTCAGTAGTCACATGTCTAGACCTTCCCCTGCAGGTTCTGTATGTTTTCCAAGTCAAGTTTACTCAAGTGGGCATCCAACTCTAAGCAATGAGTCAAGTTTTCCATCAATGCCATACCATTCAAATTATAAAAATGGGCAACCAACTCTAAGCAACCAGCTATATTATACTAATTATCACAATCCTAATCACATTGGAAATAGGATCACCAGCAACAAGGAATTGGCTGGCTTTAGACAGGTGGGGAGCTTTGTCAGATACAGTAATTTTGATGGGAACAAGAACTTCTCTAGTTTTGGTGATCATGGTCATTCAAATTTAGTAGATTTCCCAATATTGCTGCATAATTCTACACAACAAGAAGTGCAACAGCAGCAGCAACTTCAACCACAGGTTCTGTTTTCACCACCATTGCAAATGCCTTCTCCGCCGCCGCAGCCACAGGAGCAACAAGAAAACGACATTCTTGGGCAGGAAAGGCAACTTCAACCACAGTTTCTGCCATCATCACCATTGCAAATGCCTTCACCATCACCTCTGCCAGCAGCAGCAGAGCAGCAAGGAGAACAAGATGACATTTTTGGGCTTGAAAAGCAACTTATGCAGTCACCACAATGGCATATGCCTTCAATGCCTTCAATGCCAGCAGCACCAACAGCACATGAGCAAGAGAAAGATGACATGTTTGGGATTGAAAGTGAAGAAACTGATGACTTATTTGACATTGCCAAAGGCACCACTCAACATTTCAATGATGTTGATTTTGATGATTTATGGTGAGTGGCTGGTGATCAAGCATCTGACTTATGTTTATGCTCTTGTAAAAGTAAGCTTCAATTAAAAGGGTACATCTCCATACATTATGAGACAGAAACTATACAGTATACTCGCTTGTAAGCTCTTTCTCTCATCTCAATGATAAGGGAAGAGGATAAAAAAGGAATATTTATGAGAAATGTAAGTGGACAAGTTGGACTAGAAGTAATATACAGCTTTAGTTTTTAGATTTATTATTATGATTAACTTACAATATTATATCTTTGTTTTCTTTAATATAAAAAATTAGCGAGAATCGAACCATAAGCTTATTCTAATCCTAACCCATTACTCCACCCTCTCTCACCACTTAAGCTAAACCCAGAGACCTTTATGTCTTTTAATTGTGAATGTATTCGAACTTACTAAATAAATTTTATATGCTATATATATTTGTCAGTAATTAAATTGTCCTATATGTTACTACTCCTAAATAAAAAAATTGTTATTTGCATTAAAAATTGATTCGTTATTTGAGTATCTTCAGAATATTTTTTAATTTTATTTATTATATATTCTTCTATTTACTCGATTATAATTTAATGTCTATTTGATTGTTGGTTTAATTAATATTTCAAGGATAATCTTTAACGAGGGCACTAAATAATTGTAAGGTGCGACTAAAAAAATACTGTGGGTCATGTTTATGTTTTTTCTATAAATAAATTTCAGTTTTTGATGAATTAAAAAGAAACTCGGATAACTTGGGAAGTTTTATTCACGGTTGCCATATTATTATTGGGATGACTCCCTTTACCGTTTGAGTCCTTTGTACTCCTTATTCTTATTGATTTAATAAAATTCTATCTCATTTTTATTAAAATAAAAAAAAAAATCAAATTGTCAAAGAAAAATGGGTTTACCGCATCCAAAAAAAAATTGCCCCTACAAACTTTTTTGAAATGAGAAAGGGAAAAACAATATCAAACCCAATTTGTTGCCTGGGGGATTGGAATCAAGGACAATATTTAGAATAATCTGGGCTATGTATCGGTATATGTAACTTGCCCAAAACAAAATCGGTAAATGTTAAAATACATTCTAAAATAGGCAACTAAAAAAAAGCAAGAAATTATTGGACTTGGTCACCAATTTTTATTGGGTAGATTACTTGAGGACCAATTAAGATTTTCTCTCTCCGTGTTACATTTTCACTCATACTTTCCTAATCACATATGTCAATCTGATTTCCTTTGGTTACAGAGATTAATTTGGTTTCCTCAAACCGTTTGGATTGGAATTAAAACTTAGTTCATTCCATTATTTAGGGTTGGCATTAACTTGAAGCCCAAACTTTCCTGTTTCCAACTCACACTAGGATTAAGCAACTATATAACATTAACCATTTTCACTTGTCTCTTAATTTGTTAACGGGTTAGCGCTTTCTTCGTCGATAACATTGATGAGCAAGATTAGAGAAGAAAAGATGAATTTGGTGAGTAAGGTAGGTTTTGGTGATGGCTTGTCCCCTCTCGAGATTTTGTCGGAGACGGTTTGTAGTATATTCAAGGCGCATCAAGAGAAACAAGAGCATTCTTCAGAATCTCCAAAGAAAGGAAGCTCCTTGTACTTCAATTTCTTGAATGATACGGCCAGCCCTAGCAATACTACTCCTGTAAGTATTATTTTCTCTGATTAGCTTTCACATAATCAGTTACTTTTCATTCTTCTCTTTAGTTTTTTTTTCTAAGCTATGCAATTATTTTGTAACATTTAATTTAATTTGTCACAGAAAAAAGGCAACGGGCCAGTGATGATCATGAGAAAAGAGGCGATATTGGAGAGTCCTAGCAGCCATGACGAGGATGATGATGGCCGCCAAGTCCTACTCGTTGATCATGAAGAAGAAAAGTCAGAACTGACTTTTCAATTACAAATTCCAAAGTATGTACTCTCTCTCTCTCTCTCTCTCTCTAACTTTCCCTACCTTATTTATAAATGTTAATGATTAATTATGCACTGTGCATGCCAATTACTTAATTTGCTGCAAGTTTAATTTCTCACTATGCCTACTTTAAGTGTAGGCAAATAACAGTTGTAGCGGTTGAAACCAATCAACCAAACTAATTTGAATGGTTTTTACAGCTAAAACATGTAATCTCGACCCAAATAAAACCAAGTCGTGCACAATAAAATTTGGTTTGACCTATTTAGAAACTAAACTAAACTGCATATATTAAGCTTATTGTGTTTTTCTACACTTTACATTTTTTTTTATGGGTTAATTAACTAACTACGTGTTGTAATTTCTGTCACAGTTTAGTTAAGGAATGTTTTCCACACCCTAAGAAACGAAGGTCTTCATCACCAACTAATATTAATAGCATCATCCTATTTGGACAAAAGATAACAATGAGCACGACTGGACATGCTAGTACTAGTGGTAGTAGTATTGAATTTGATCAAATTCATCAAGAGCAGGCAATGACTGTTAAGAATGCTTCTTTGAAAAGAAAACATATTTTTGACGAGGATGATAAAGATTGGGTTGCTGCTCCTGATAAGAAGAAGAAAAAGGTCAAGTTTTCGGTCAACATGAATTCAAGCAAAGGCAAAGGCAAGGGGAAGAACAAGAGCGTACCCGAACCTATTCATGAGTTGCCTGAAGAATTCAAGCAAGTGATATTGGGCAAAATGAATGGGACAAAGCTCCAATTATTGGCACAGAAGAGTTTGTTCGAGGCTGACATAAAGTCAGGCCAAGGTAGGTTGTTGCTGCCTCGAGAGCAAACCACATCCAAGAACCCCAAGAAGTTCCTCAAACGCAAAGAGAAGGCCAGACTTGACAAATATAAAATGCAGGTTTCATTGATAGATCCCGTGCTTCAGCAAGAAGATATTACCTTGGCGTGGTGGAAGCTATCAAAGAAACCCAAAAAGCGATCCTTTGTGTTGACACATACCTGGAATCACATTGTTAATAAGCATCATCTAGATACAGATGATTTGGTTCAAGTTTGGTCATTTCGGGCTATTAACCCTAATTTTAAGCATGACGGTCTCGATTGTGATCGTGATAATAATTGTCGTGATGTTCAGGATTATGACAATGTTGATGATGATCTAAATGACGATGATGGTCAGCTTCATTTGGCTCTTGTTTTGGTTAGGAGAGGTGATCATGTTCTCAAGGAAGAAGGCAACGAAGAAAGTAGTGGAGGACGAAAAGTTGTAGGTGGCAGCATCAGTGGAAGTTGCAGCCCTGAAAATTATGAGAGCAGCAGCCCTGAAAAAATTGATAGCAGCAATCCCAAAGTTGGTGAAAAAAGACCAAGAGACTTTTAATCAAGACTCTTTTATATAATAGATTTTTGTAAATTTGTTTAGTGGCTACAACTAGCTAAATTTGGTATTTGCAATATAATTAAGAAGTTAGCTAACTAGCTTTGTATGTGACAGTGATGAGTTAATGAATGGATCCATATACTATTAGTACAATTTGTAGAATTAGCAATTGACAATGGGAAATGTTTCATTAAAAAAAGCCCCAAAGAAGGCACCAGAGAACTTACTAAAAGCCCCAGGCTCAAAAGATCTCCTACAAACTAGGAAGAAAAATAAGAATTATAAATATATAAATAATTTACAAGCAACCCCAACAGTGAACACTGAACAACAGATATGAACTCACCACCTCTTCTTCTTCTTCAGCAATCTCTCCCGCCAATATCCCCCACTGAAAATCTAATTCAACTGAAAACTCCACTCCCTGTACACAATAGCATACCCGGCACACGAACACCTGTATCATCATCATCATCATCATCATCATCACTTTCTTATATAAGAGCTTGCGCTGGTAAAACAACAAGAAGAGTAGGAGGAGGAAGAAGAGGAAACCCAGATGACTACCATGCCACTCTCACTGCTCTCAACTCCAAAGGCCGCTTCCCTAGAAAATCCCTCGGCCAGGTTTTTCACTTCCTCTCTCTCTCTCTCTCTCTCTCTCTCTCTCTCTCTCTCGTTTCCTCTCCCACTTAATAAATTTTCCCTTTTTTCTTTTTCTTTTTTTATTTTTCAAATTCTGTGTTCTTGTGTAGGTTCTTAGACAATGTGTGGAAGATAGTATGTGGGTTTGGTTCCAATTATGTTTCTTTAAAGTTTGTTTTCCAAAATTTAGTTTGTATGATAGAAATGGTAAGCAGCCTCGGGTTCATTTTCTGAATGATTTGGTTTTGAAATTTCTTAGTTTGTTTAATTTGTGTGTATTTCAGCATTATATGTTGGACTCTGAGATCAACGAACAGCTCACTGCTGCGGCTAATGTTGGAGAAGGTGATGTGGTGCTAGAAATTGGGCCAGGAACAGGTTCTTTGACTAATGTTCTTATTAGTGCCGGTGCATTTGTGCTTGCAATCGAAAAGGTTTCTGTGTGTGTTTCTTCTTGGTTATCCAATTAGAATCCTGGGTCTTTGAATTTGAAGCCCTGCAAGAAGGGTGGTATTTGTTGCAAATTTGACAAATTGCTTTTAGTATTGTACACTGATTTGTAGAATGTTTTATGTGCTTTAGGATCCACACATGGCTACTCTTGTGAGTGAAAGATTTTCAGAGACTGAACGGTTCAAGGTAAAGCACATTTTGGTCATACATTTTGCTCTGTCTTATGCTACCAAGAAATGAGCTCTTCCTTAGCATTCTGGCAAACTTGGTAGTGATATCACTGATATGTTTCTAAAAGTGCTTTGCCTTTGGAGCAACATCTTTGGATTCTGAACAGGCTGGAATTGAAGTTTTCATGCACTTTATGTTTTTATTTCTTTTTCCATTGTGATTAATTTTGCAAGTTTTTTACTCTGTAGGTTTTGAAAGAGGACTTTGTCAAATGTCACATTCACTCTCATATGTCATCATTGTTGGCAAGTATAGAGCCATCCAGCGCAGATTCAAGATATGCGAAAGTAAGTACCCTTCTTGGTTGATTAAAATGAATTTGACTTCCTAATGAGATGCATGCTAATTTCGCAACAATCCGTGCTCAATTGGAAACACTAGGTCTTTTCTCCGTGTTTACAAATATCCTAAAATATAACCTATTTGAGTTTCTGATTGCAGGTAGTCGCTAATATACCCTTTAATATAAGTACAGATGTTGTCAAACAACTTCTTCCAATGGGTGACATCTTTTCTGAAGTAGTACTCTTACTCCAGGTTGGCATTATTCTATTGATCTATGATTCTAATTGTTTCAAGTTATGTAATTACATTATGTAGCCCTGTATTAATAATCCTTTCATGATTGGTAATGTTATCTGGTTTGTCTATCTCATTCAAGCATAGCCTGAAGCTAACACCTTAATAGGATAGGGAAAGGGATAGAGAGAGTATGAATTTGAATCTTTAATGAGTAGAGCAAATCAAACTAGATCACTAGTAATTTATGGATCTGATATGATTCATAATTTGATTCCTTCATCACGATAATGGTAAAATTATTTCAGGAGGAGACAGCTTTGCGGCTGGTGGAATCATCTTTGCGAACATCTGAGTACCGGCCCATCAATATCTTCGTCAATTTCTATTCAGGTATCTCTATGTTTGGAATTAATTTGGTTTTTATCATCTAATTAAATTATTGAAGCTCTTTATACAAACCAGAACCTATGAGAAAAGGGTGATAACTTTTATACGGTGAAAGACTGAGATGAGTTGCAGTCTGATAAACTTTTATGCCAGTGAGATGCAAGTGTATATACTTCTGTTTCTTTTTTGTTTTTCTGACCTGGGTTCTGTTTTTCATTTTCCTTTTCAGATCCTCAATTCATATGTAAGGTTCCAAGGACAAAATTCTTTCCTCAGCCTAACGTAAGAATTTGTAATCCCATTTAGGAAAATATATGCCTTCTAACACTGTCAATATTACTTGTTTGAATGAGTTGAAAAAATAGCAGTACAGTTTATTGGAAGTTCAACCAAAATAGTAACTAGCCACAAATTCAGATTGACCTGATATTGTGTGTGTTGCAGGTTGATGCTGCTGTGGTTAAATTTAAGCTGAAGCAACCTGTACACTACCCCTCAGTTTCCTCCACTAAAAGCTTCTTCTCAATGGTTGTTCCAATTTCCATAATCAATATCAATCATTTTAGATTATCATTAGTATTACAGATTTTCATTGCAAAAAATATATTGTCCCTGTAAATGGAGGCAAGCAGCAGATGCTGCATTTTCAACCTGATTAATATCTGACACACGGTAGTGGGGATATTACGGCTGAATACTCATTGTATAGGGCGTGGTGTCTTTACTTGAGATAAAAAAAATTTGGTCAATCTTCTTGTTATTCTGACTCAATTCTTCCATTAGTACATCTCTCCAGACATACATAAGTTATGATTTGAGAACTCTCCAAAGTGTAGATGATTTCATTGCCAGCAAGATCAATTAGGACACTGCCTTTCCTTTGGGCCGTCATTATAAGATGCCTTGTTTGTATTTTGATACAGGTAAATTCTGCTTTTAACGGGAAACGTAAGATGTTGAGGAGATCACTTCAGCACATATGCACGCCCATGGAGATTGAAAATGCTTTGGGAAACGTTGGTCGTCCTGCCACGGTATTGATTGCTATTTCTCTGCTTACCAATTATGTTGGAAAAAGTTTTATAAGCTCCTGCCTCTGGAAATCCATTCTACTAACTTTTTTGTTCTTATTATTCTTTTGCAGTCAAGACCAGAAGAGCTATCCATGGATGATTTTGTGAAGTTGCATAATTTGATTGTGAAAGTATGACATTTGTGGTTTCTCTAGAAGGCCGATACTTTTCACACACATGCAAGCCGGTTCTACCGTACTAGTTGCAGCAAATCTCATTCAAACAGCGACCGCAACAATTTCTAGAGAAGGCTGGACAAAATTCCATAAAAGTGTTTCCTGCAAGAGCAAATTGGAATGGAAATGGATCATTGGCGGACTTGTTCTTCAAAAAATGGTTTTTAGGGCCCTTAGCAGTATGATACAAGCAGAAGCAACAGCATTTTTTGCCTACAAAACAATGGATTTGTGCCTACATTTGTATTCCATTAATATTTCGAAATTGTAACGCAGTAACGTAAGTAAAGAAAAAAGAAAATAAAAGAAAATTGAGTTGCTAGTTATTATGTGTTGAGTAATTTCTTTGTTTCCTGGTGCTTGAATTTGAGGTTGAAAGGCTAAGAAATTATTTATACTTTTCTAAGGCCTCGGAGGTCCTCGACATACCATAACACAAACGAGAGTGCAAGTTTAACTAATTTTTGACACCAATGCAAATTTTGGTAGGTGAACAAACTTTTGGCATTAGTGAACTTTGAAGGTTGAATTAAACTTTTGGCATTAGGTGAAGGAATTCTATTCGGAACTATTATATGTCCAAGGTCCAACCCAATATTGAAATAATTTCAGAGGTTTTCCTTGATCTTGTCCGTGTCAACAAACAATTCGAAATGCCTCGTTATCAGCAAATATGAAACTCTCTGTTTACGTGCTCCTCTTTCCATTTTATTAAGAAGATCATGATTTACAGATAGTTGCTTAGCCACACCATTCTTACAACATATAATAGCACGAGAATTGCCGACATTGGCTACCACCAGCATCCACTCGTCATGGTGGTTCATCAATATTGCCGTAACAGCACTTGAAGCCGATATGGACCTCAAATCAATTCTCTCCACAAGGTTATTGTTGGTTATAAGATATCCTCTCCTCACTGCATATGCAGTGGATAACCAGAATTCAGGCTCCGCTATGATATTCTTGAAGGGATAAGACTGCAAGTACGCAGGAGTTTGATAGTTCGTTATGCCATCAAATATGCCAAATAGTCCTACATCATGGTCACCATCACCAATCTGTCTAAGCTCTACAACAACATAGCTTGCTGTAGGAATATTGTTTGTTCCATTTAGCAAGCGGAAGCCATATGTCACGTTTACATTGTATGAGCTATTTGAAACCTTGTTTTTTTTCTTCTCCATAATCAGGAACATCTATTCTTGATGATGCACCATTTTCTTTGGTACGAGTATGTGATGATGAATCTTTACTTAATTCAACTTTATGTTTTGGATTGGGACCACCACCTAACCCAACTTTTTCCTTCATCTCGTGGAGAATTTTATCGACTTTCTTGAATGTTATTGTAGGGAAAATGCTGTCTTCACTAGAACAAGTGAAGAGAAAATCTGGGGAGGATGTAGAGAGAAATGAAGAGGGTCATGATCATCATCTTCCACAGATACTGATAGAGTAAGCACAATGATAGTCATAGACATTATCCATGCAAGTCTACCAATAGCAATTATTTCCATAGCTCAAATCTTAGTTCAGATTTCCAAGTAATTAGAAAAAACACAATCTATATGGTATTTAAAAGGAAAATCTGTTTTATATTTAAAAAAACAAAAGAAAAATCTTTTTGTTCAATTAATTCTTTCTCAACTAATTAGGAGGAACTTTAAGTCTTCGGTGCCAATAGCAGTACTGATTGGATAAACCAGTAAATTAAATTGAGATCATTTTCTATATAAATTGGAACTAATCTTAGCAGCTTTTAGCTAAGGCCAGCGGCTGTATGTGTATATTTTGTTGGATGTAAAGAGCCATTTTCAACAATGACATTATGGTAATAAATGTGTACTTCACACTCAAGTGACTTTTTACAAGTGTAAGAAAGAAAAAAAATGTCAAGTAACTTCTGGTTTTTCATTTTGGCTATGGTATGTTTCATTCAGATCAAGTATCCTACGGATAGGCCGGCCAAGGCCATATGATCTATATATAAACGTAAAGTAATCATTAAACATCTTCATCACCTCAAATCCTGGACCAATAATTCATACTGACAATCCAAAATCTTGAGGTTTTCCCCCTTCCAAATGTTAAAAGGTCAAATTCATACAATTATACCTCAGCAATGCGACAGTCAGCAAGAAAATACAGAGAAAATCATAAGAAAATGCAAATCACTACCATACGGAAAACCAAAGAGAATCATCATGAGCTGTTTTTCAAATTGGTGTTTTACTTTGCAACGTCCTATACAACTATGAACGAGGCACGGCCGGCCTTGACTTTTAAGTGGCCCTGCGTCAGAAATTAAAATGAGGAACTTTTCCCTTTTTCTTGTTAAATCACAATTTAACAAGAAAAAAAACTATGCACACATACTTTCCTTTTGGCTTAAATATGGTAGTTGCATTAAACTAAACAAACAATAGTACATGAATCATAAAGATAAGCCACGGTGTAGATTATATCCGACTTCATTTCAGCTGCTCGGGCCAAGGATGAGACTTCTCAATTAACAACTAGATTTTCTGTTATGAAGATAAGCAAGTGTAGCAAGAAAAAACTAAGGAAGTTGAAGTTATAATATGCAGCACATTTATCTTGTATAACTTTTGAAGCTTCTGTTATGATGAACTACTAATCATGCAACAATGAATACCAAATTCATATTTCCATATGACTAATTTACTTTAATGATCATGTAAGAACAAAGAATCGTAACACATGAAAATGCATATTCCGAAAGAATCTGATTACTGTAGCCGACTCAAGCAAGAACGATATAACACTAAGAGCCAAAAAATTTATTCACCTTCCTCAAATCGCTACGACTAGAAACCCCTTGAACCTGTAGTTCATCAACAGGTGCACCTGTTCCATGTGCTGTACTTTCAAGTCTAAAGGCTTGAATTTCATACCTTGACTGAAAGAGACCTATATATAGCAGAAGCGAAAACACAATCAGTCTTTTAACCAAACAATTTTCCTACATGATGTAATATTGGCCGCTAACTTCCTTTCTTCATTGAAAGAAAATACAAAATTAAAAGAAGCAAACTTATAAATGGTAACCTGGCTTTGCAAAAACTTTACAGCGTCCTTATTACAGGAAAACTACTCCCCTATTTATCTTGCTTGACACTGCAGCATTGAAAACAGACACTATTTTCATGTGCTACTACATGCATGAATTCAAGAGATAAATGATCAAGGAACACTAGTTTTTGTGATGTTATCGTAAAAGAGTACTGTATCTAGTCATATTAGTTCATGGAAGAAGGTCACACATATAGTAAGGTTGGGATCATTACCTTGCTCGATAATGATATCAATCACCAGGGAAAGGGGAGCATCCTTCTCAATTGTAGTGATGCCCCAGAGGGGAAGAGAGGACTTGAAACATTTCTGGAGAGGGAGAGAAAGAAGAAGAAGCATTACCTTTATCTTTATGTATGCTTTTTCTCTCTTGTAACACAAAAAGAGAGGGATCTAATTCAGTTAAAAAACAAGGGAAGAAAGTCTAACAAAATTTTTGTTTGAATTAGTTGAGAACATAACAGAACAAATTCTATCACAACTTTAACCAAATACTGGTTAACCACAAATGATTGAAATTGAGCTGATATTTCTTGTGCTGCGGGTTGATGCTGCTTAAACTAAGCTGAAGCAACCTGGACACTACCCCCAGTTTCCTCCACTAAAAGCTTATTCTCAATCAGTATTTAAATTTTGATATTCAAGATCACGCTCCTTGGAATATATTACGGAATTTCATGCATGAACCAAAAAAGAAATTCCTGTCATGAAGCAAGCAACACAACTACTGCTGTCTCAACTGCATTAACATCTAAAACACAGCAGTGGGGATTTTACCAGTCATTCTCCAACAATACATCAGTTCTGATTTCATTACTAGCGAGATCAATAAGGAAACTCCCTTTTTACCGTCAGTCATAATAGCATGCCAGGGTTGTATATTGACACAATACATACTGCTTTTAATGGGTAACATAAGATGTTGCATATGCACTCCAATGGAGAATGAAAATGGTATGGGAAATGCTGGCCAAGTATGTTCTGCTAACTTTCTTGCAATGTTTTTGCAGTGAAGGCTAGAAGAGCTATCCAGGGATGATTTTTTCAATTGCATAATTTGATTGTTAAAAGTATAACGAAATATAGAGCAAGCCTGTTCTACCACATGAGTTGTAGCATATTTCATTCAAACGCGAACTCGATAATATATAGAGCAAGCTGGAAAATTTCCATTATACTGCTCCTAGGATAAGAACTTATCATTAGTGGACTAGTTCCTGACAGGATCATTGAAGCAGAAGCAGCATATTTGAACCATAAACCATGTTTTTTAGCTCAGACAATGATTATGACTTGTGCATTGCATAATGCAGCAAACAAAGTCATCCAATTTTATCACTTGTGTCTCTCTGTGTGTCATAAGAACCCAATAAGAAAGTTACACGAATTGAAGTTTATGCACTGATATTGAAAACTAGAACAATTTGTCTCATTGAACATGATGCTAATATTTTTCTATAAATCAACAAAAGTCCATAATAATCAAATCCACAATGTATGCATCTCTGAAATACTATTCTTTTCCATGTCACACACCACAACATAAATAAAACCCTAAGCCAAACCATAAGGAAACAAACAATACCAATAAAAACTCACTGTGTCCATTTCTTGCAAACCCATCCATCATCACAGTGCAAATGCAAAACAGAACTCCTCTGTTTTCCCCTGCTTTCCCCTGTGTCACCCAACTCACCCATGAAACTGGTACACAAGCTCCAAAGCCCTCAGCTTAGACTCATGAGGGTCAAAACCCTTTACACTCCCAACAAACCCATCACCATTCAGCCGCCTCTCCTCCACCACGGCTGCGGCAGAAGGCGAAAGCCGCCTTTTCGGCCGCTTGTTCTTAATGAAGCAATCCCTCATCTGCTCCTCAACCAGGTCAATTGTTGCGGCCCTGGAATTCCCCTCTCCAATGCCATCATCAAAATCATCATCTTCCCCGTCCCCGACTTGCATCGGCTCGTTGCCGGTGGCGGAGGAGAGAGAGTTCTGCGGTTGGAGTTGGGGGAATTGGGGTGTGGAGAGAAAATTTGAGAGGTGGTGGTGGGCTTGGTGGAGAGAAGAGTAGATATGGAGAAGGTATGTGGGGTCAGAGATGGTGGGGAGCTGTTTGGCCATGTGGGTTGCTTGTTCTAGGGAGAGAATAAGGTCTGATAATGGTGGTGGTGGTGGTTGAGGCTCTGGTTCTGCCTCTACCATGGATTCCATTGAAGAAGTCTCAATCTTTTGAATGATTTAATATCAGTAGAAATCAATCTGTTGGCTTTTTTTTATATGAAAACAATGCAATCTGTTGGCTTTAACTGGAAGTGATGACTGCTGTTTCTGCTTCTCTCAAAAGTTGTTTGCTTTTCTGGAGCGCGTTGGCTTCTTGGCTTATTTGCTTATTGGGCTTCAGCCTTCAGAGGGGTAAGATTCTTATTAGAATCAGAGACTGCGTTTGAGTCTGTTCTTCTTCCATGACTGGTTGGTTCTGTTTTTGAGACCTTTTGTTACTTTTCACTTCGCAGTCATTGTCGTCCAGAGTTTTATTTTAGAGATTTTCTATTTAAACCTCACACTTCTCTTTGTTCACCCCAATACTTAAATTATTAAGTTGTAAGTTTTATTATTGTGTAAAAAGACAAAAAAGATTATCCAACTTAATAATTAACACTAGTACATCTATACCCACACCCCACACCCCACACACCCCCACACTTTTCATATCAAGTTTTAGAAAAATATAAACTCCTCTATATCCTATAGCCAGATTACTCTTCTCTTTTAAAGACATAGAAAATTAACGAGCCTACCTCTTTAAATATGCGTGGGAGTTGATGGAAAGGCTTGTTGAAATTCAACAATACCCAAGTGTTGGAATTCCAATTATAGTTCTTGGAGAGAGGTAAAGTTGTTCTATTTCTCTAGAAAGTATTAAATTTCGGGCTTAGGGTTCTATTTGTTTGTGTTTTTTTTGCTTGGAACAAAGAAAATTGTGGAGTTTAAATAGAAAATCTCTTTTATTTCTTATTTTTTCAGTTTGGGGTGTATTTAAGGGTAGTTTGGGAAGATAGTGGGGTTTTCTTAAAAATTGTGAAAATTTAAATTAAAAGATGGGGTAAACTTAGAACATGGGGTGAACTAAGAGAAGTGTGGGGTTTAAATAGAAAATCTTTTATTTTATTATTATTATTTTCCAATATTTTATTGGGAGTTTCACTAAAATACCTAAAATGGGGGCTGAAATTATAAAAATATCCAACACCCAAAACACTTTATAAACATACTCAAAACTCATCATTACACACACTCAAAACCCATTTATAAACATACCAAAAACCCATCATTACACACATACCCAAAACCCATTTTGGGTATGTTTCTATGTTTAAATAGTGCTTGGGTATTTTTATAAATATCTATATTTTATTTTAGTTTGAGACAACTTCTTAAACAATTTTGCTCCTAATTGCAACCAAACGTTTCTTCCTAAAAATGTATTCACTTTTCTTTTTGCGACACCAAAATTTGAACTTTATATATTAGTACAATATAGCACTTACTGTTTAGGCCAACCTTCAGCTATTTACCCTTTGATTAGAGCCCAACTAAGCTAATGTACCTGCAATTATAACCTAAGAGCCCATGAAGGTATAATTGCAATTCAATCTTCTTCCATTCTTCAATTTCAAGTTCACAAAAAACCCCAGCATAAGTTTAGGCAAGTTGGCTAGAGCAAGTGTGCTCCTCACTTTGCACCCGAATTCGAATCTCGTCCCCATTCTTTAGATTATATTAAAGTAGAATATCGCTTGTATAAAAAAAAATTAAAAAAAACCCAGCATAAGCTTATGTTTTATCCACATGACTAGTATAAAGCATGCATAAAATGTTATTCTTTTTAAAAGGCTTCAAGTTCAAATACCAAGTGTTGCTAGAGGAAAGGGGGGTGGATCTAAATCTGCACAACTCAAATAACATAATTGTTTGCGGAGGATGTTAAAAGAAGAAAAACAAAATGGTGATCATAAAAGTGGAAACAGTACTGCCAAAGACATATACGGATGAGCTTTTCTACAATGACGACTAAAAGTAATTCTTTACACAATGTCTAAGCTTTTAACATTCTAAGATAGTCATCTATTATAGACATTGCAGATGAACGATATCCCGAACCGAAGAGGTTATAGTGATTCAAGTAATGATACAACAGATAAAGATCTTTCCTCTTCTCAAACCCTGGTTGTTTGGGCATCACCTGGAGACACAATAAACCATTAATGAAGACATGGAGAATTAAAACGGCCTGAAAGGCATTAAACTTTACTTTTAAATGTGAGTTGATAATAGAAAGCAACTTCAGTTGGTTTGGTTGGATTTATCTTTTCTTTTGACAGTTAAGTGCTACTGCCACTCACTCAAACACCTTTGCATGAACATTGGGAGCCTGGGTAGGTAGACGAAAAAACAGAGCATAGATTATTTTGAGAAAGAGGAGATAAAGAAAGGACCTACCTCGAAATAGGAACTGTAGAAAGATCCTCCAAAACCAGCACACCATGACATTCCAAATTCTGCCTCACTATGTCCATCTATAAAAAATGCAAATGATAAGAACAACAGTGCACTTAGTGCTTTAAACAGCAGTTGCCACACTATATTTCACAATACAAGATATATGAAACATGTTACGTTAATCATTTTATAATCAGAGACAATCAAAATTCGTGTCTGCGTGTTTTGGAGTGATTTGAGAGCCTCAGACTTTCAACTGGTCCTCTCCCAGAAGATACCCGAGATCAAGGGTGGAAATAATGTATGTACCAGTACCATATTTTCTTGTATACTACAAACATAGGTTAGGCTTCAACAATTAGCAACACAGTTCGATTTCAAGTGATCTATCCGACAGCAAACTGATATCTGAACTAACTTTAACTTACAGTAACATGCTGGGTCAAGTATAACAGGCTCGCCATTCTTGTCAGAGCTGATATTTCCGCTCCATAAGTCCCCATGTAACAAGCATGGCTCAATCACTACATTATCAAAGAGAGGTCCCATACTTTTCACCAATCTTTGTCCTGTTAAACATGATAATCCAACAGCAAACATAACTTTTATTTATAATGATTTGAGTGGTTACAAATGAATCTTCAGAGTATTTTCGTATGATAATATTGGAAGAAAAGGCATCTCAAATTTTGAAAGTTTCATTGAACTAAAGGTTGAGTGAAAAAAGAGAAACAAGTTTCCAACTTACATGCAAAAACATGTCAGTGCTTGCTCATACTTTTCTTCGGAGATACTTTTTCTTTGAAAAAAATAAACGAGATGCCAGAAACTAAAATTATACTTAAGAGTTCACAAACTAAAGTTGAATATCACATCTTCTGTGATTGAGGAAGCACTTCTCCAAATAAAACTCTTATTTTTTCTCATTTTCCATACAAATTATTTGAAAGTTGAGACCTGGACTCCCCATTGAAACTTGTGTGCAGTTGAATTACTAAGAAGTAGGTACAAAAATTGGAAGCAAACTTCAGATCCTAATAAAGGTTGGATTGCACTATGATTTCTTTTCAGTCGACTTATCCAATTATATCATCTTCCTAAAGGGTAAGCAGAACTAGGCATGATTTGGGATTGACCATCGACATCAAGAAAATAGACAATATTTACCTTTTTCATAAATGGTACCATCACCATACTGGTCCAGTGCCAGCTGCAACTGATAACCCAGTCTATGCTCCCCATAAAACTGAATCCAATCTGATGACCAAGTGTTTATCTGCGGAGTACTGCAAGGGAAAGTGTGTCGGTTCCATATGCCTTGAGTAATTTTCCTTGAATTTCGATAGTTGTGTGTGTGCAGACATGCACATGATCCAGAAAGACTACCTGCCTACAGTGTTGTTAACTTCAAAACCAAAACCTTTTTCAGATTTTCCAGCTTTATGCATTTCAGCAAGCTTCCTGCCTAGCACAGACTGAGTACCAATATACCATTAAAATTCGATTACAAGTTGTTATCACCGATATAAAAACATGAAAATTTTCCCCATCCTTACCTGATTATTTCTACGTGAACCAAATTCAATAAATTCCATAATGATGTAAGAACCACCAGTAGGTAGGGGCCCAAACTACAACACATAAGAAGAGGTTATCTAAGCTTTAAGCATTGTCATGGACTTCATGTTCACATTCCACTTTGGCTTGATAATTTAACAAATTTTAAAACTTCCACACCTTGAATGGCTTAGGGACACGAATTGTTCCAGTTTCAAACATGGCACCTAAACCAAGAGCCTCTCCCTCAAACATCGATGGCCCAATGCTCCTGATTCAATGCTTTAACTAAACATATTTATGACTTCGAAATGGAAATAAGGATTCAAACAGCATATGAAACCGAAATTTCCAAAACAAATTAGAAGCAACTTTTGTGATCATTTTGATAGCAAAAACCTGTTTGTTTTGACAAAGAAAGAACCCGCATCAGTGTCATAGTGACTTGCACGATTGATGCAACCTCCTCCTACTGGACTAATTCTTGTTATCTGTGTTGCATTTCCTTCTGAGAGAATCCATTCACGAACCGGATCCTCACTCACCACCGCCACTGCCAAATAACTATGACTGGTGAATTTAAGCAAACACAACTCAGCTTGACAGAGGATCAGCTAATACATAGAGGCATGACAACACAGCTTAAAAGCTGTCGTTTCAGTGAAAATCAGCTTCATCAAAGTTGCAATCAACAATAGCCCCAAATTCAAATGACTACTTATTGAATTGAAAACAAAACAATTATTGAAGACAACCCACATATAACAGAGAGACTTCATCAAATCTACCATAAAAATATACCCGGGAACTCATTACAAAAAGGATAATTTTTCTTAAACCCCACGAAATGACTGACATTTAGCTCAACTACATAAGAATACACCAATACAATAGGCACAAAAAGGCTCATACTGCATCAACTAAGTCATGGTTGTTCTTGAAAAAACTCAAACAAGGACCCCATTAGAGCTCGAATTAGCTAAAATGAAATATGGGATTTTGTTTATACTCACTGGCAAAAGTTCTGTGCTTGGTGGAGGACAGTCGAGGAAGGCGAGGCAGAGAAGGTAAGCAAGAGGAAGAGAGCGGTAAGAGCCCAACGTGTACCACCATTATCACCCTCTATGTAAAATTCTATACGCTTCTTTTACTAGTGGTTCGGTTGGATTTGTCCATGTGGTCTCTAGCTTCTTTTGGTTTCTGGAGTTTTTTGTGTCTGTCGTGGGAGTAAGAGCAAGTCCAGCAGCCTGGACTCGGGCTGGGGGGGTTTTGGGCGAAAAACAGGTTCCAGCAGTGCAGGCTAGCCCTGGCTGCATGTAGGGGCCACGAAGATGGGCTGGCCCAAGGGCAAGTCCAGCCCCAAGTCCAAAACTCGGGCGGGCTGACATCAGCAACAATTTTTTTTTTTTTAAATCTAAAAAAATATTAAAAAATTCGGATTTAAAAAAAAATAAATACTTAGTCATATTTTTCACTTCCCACACCAAAAATCTTATCCGAAAATATTATCCAAATTAATTATTTAGGTAAATAAATTTGTGAAAAAAACATAAAAATAAATAGTATTTGCCCTTTGCCATGGCAACTGCTGAAAACCAACATTGCTTTTTGCAAGGGCAGCCATTATTCACGTGAATAGTGGCTGCCCTAGCGGCCCCCCCTGCCATGGCAAGGGGCAACTGCTGGAAGTGCTCTAAGGGGAAGACAACGATGTGTTCGCTATGGTCACTTGAGGTTTCATGGAATTTGGTACAGCTTTCATGTATGTGCTCCACATGTATACTTCATTTTGCTTATTTTATTTTATTTTTTTGTATTTTTTTTTTAGAGACATTTTGCTAATTTTATTAAGGAAACTCATTTGAGATTCATCATTCATTAAAAAGACGGCAACTCAAACTTGGGATAACTCTAACCTAACCCTAGGAGGAGAAGTCTTACTAGACCTGTTCCAAAGTCATGTAATTTGGTAGAGCATTTCCACATTCCATGCCATGTTTAATAGGTCATGTATTGACCTAACATGGCTACTTGTAGTTGTGTACCCATACCACATTTATTGGGATCGGACTAACTTTTACATTCAAGGTCCTGTGGTTAAATTTATAAGGGATTTATAACTTAAATGGTTTAGAACAGTTATCTATGCACTTGAGATTATGTGTTAAATCTCGCTCCACTAATATCGCTTGTATAAAAATAATTTTTTTTCTGTACTCATACCAACCCAACCCGTTTTACAATTCTAGGATACCATATGAGACCTTTCATTAAAGTTTACAAACCATCTGTGGTTGCAACCTCTAAAATAATTGGTGTTTGGTCCTCACAAGATCCTGCAACATCACCAGTTACTTGAAACCAATTTTCCCTGAGGGCCAGTTAATTATCAGACTTGCAACACCAACAAAAATTGAATTCAGGAAGTTGGTATGTTCAATTATGGAATTCTTAGAAAAGATGTACTCTCATAGTGAGTAGAATGAATGGCTCAAAACACAGAGTATGAACATTCTACTTCCGTGAATAAACTTTATATATATAGAAATCAGATTATATTTGTAAGCTCCATTTTCCAACTTTCTACGCAAAAATTCAGAGTTTTGTCACAGTGGTTTAGCACAACCTCCGCCGTTCGTACCATCTACAACGGATAGTAACATTCTGTGCAAGGTATGAGAATCTCCAACCAAACCTACCCGGCTTACCATGTGGTTTTCACTGGTTCTCTGGATCAAACTCTTTCATTTTATCGTGGCGTTGTTTCTGGTTCTCTAGATGGAGTTGGTTCGGAGGGGTTTCCAGGAGCAGATTCTGAATGCCCTTGGTTGCTAATGTTACCTGCTGAACGCTCAGAGCCAGGTAATAGCCACAGTTGTGAATGTTCAGTTGAAACCTCAGAATCATCAAACGATCGAGGCATGCTAAACGTTGCTGATCTCACATGTTTTATTCCAAGGGATTCTTTTAATGGCAAACGGCAAACTGGACAGGTAGACTGTTTCCTCAGCCACGTATCAATGCAAGAGAGATGAAAACTGTGGCCACATTTGGGCATGATTCGCAATACTTCTTTCTCTTGGTACTCTCCCAAGCATATTGAGCACCTGCAGGACCATAAAGATTAAACTTCAATCTAGCAAGCGTCCAAAAGGAATGAAATGACTACCAAAACTCAAGGACATTCCATAAAAAGAGCGGCAAACTAACGTTCTGTAAGCTATAATAAATGTAAGATCTTTTCAATCAACTAATTCAGATTTTAAGGTTAGGTGGGAAACAAAGGAGATTCCTTAGGCACTAGAAGAAAATAAATTGCAGAGCTTACTGAGCATCTTCCAAGGAACTGAAAGATTTATGATCAAACTTCATGGTCGGGATTGCAGAAACCACAACTTGTTCAAGGCCACTGGCCTGATGCTCTGGCTGCCAGCAAACAATGAAAACTTAAAATCCATTGCTTAAAACTAAAGTTACAATGACAACACGAAAAACTCTCAAGTTTTGGTGGAATGACATCAGTAGCAGTCAACACAAATGCAAAAGGGCATGAAGGAAACCAATTCAGTCTCTTGTGTTATCAAAACTAAAAACCATGAAGACTTAGGAGTTCTTTGTATGATTCAACATAGAACAATCAAATATCAAAGCTATAGTTCAAGGCCACGCCATTTTTTCTGTATCCTTTCTTTTCAGTAATTTGTATTGTCCGCACACTAGGGAAAACTAGTACATTGCAACATATAGCAGAGTTGACTCTCTCAACTACAGCAGAGTTCATATCAAAACAAGAACATAACAAGCCATCAAAACATATGAAAATCATGAAACACAAACCAGCCTACCCAAATAAGCTACTGAGAAGCTAACTCACATATTGATCCCAGTTACAAAACAATCATTCAAGCATAATCAACTGAAAACAAAAATACATACAGATATAAGAGGTATTCATAATTGAGAAAACTACCTCAAACCAGATTTCCTAGCTGAGAAAAGAAATATAGGACAGCCAATTCAGACATACCTGCTCAACATCAATCCTTGATTCAATCTCGAACATAGGCCGTGATTCGCCACCTCTTAGCCTGCCACAAATGATTCTTGTGCAAACAAATACAATAAATGTTGCACTCATACCAAAACCAATAACAGTAGTGATCAAGTTCATACCCGAACCCATATCTGCAAATTCCTACTTCTCTCACCCAAAAGTCCCAAAACCAAAACAAAGACTCACAAGCCCCAATAACTAAAGGAAGCTGGAAAAAAAAAAAAAAAAAAAACCCACTAAAACAATGAAAACCTACAACTTAAAACAACAGAAGAATGGTGAAAACAGATCAAAAATGAAGAGTGACAAAGACCCAGATCAGAATCACTGAAGAAATGGCTAGTTTTGAAAGCAAGATTCAGGAAGACCAATCACAAACAAAGCTACCCATTTGGAATCTCTATCGCTTTGGGTAGACTCAAAGCTTAAAACAAAGTCATGGAGGCTTTCAATAGATGTTGAAGATGAGAAAAGGGAGTTGTGGAAGGAAAGGAGGCAGTTCATTGTCTTGCTCTTTGGAATCGCATTATTATGAGGTCCATTTCAATGGGACCCAACAACAAAATATTAACAGGGGTTATATATCTGACGGTTAAAACAAAAAAGAGAGGATTTTGTAACGATTCCCATGTTTGTTTAAGGTAGAGAGAAGAAGAGAATCTGTGTGTGTCCTTGCTCCTCTGCTCCTCTTACCTTTGCATCTTCTGTGCTTTCTCAACCATACTACTTCTGGATAAGGCCTTAGAATTGGGTCCAAAAAGTATCTTCACGTGTCTGTTCCTGCAATTTTGCAAATATTGAAGGGCCAATATTTTATTTCAATGTGTGGAACGCTTTTCTTTGCTGCCATTGGTTATGAGCTGGCAAGAATAAGATGGATTCTTATAGTTATTACATTAATATTTTTCTTCCCAATCATTGTCTTTGTTGTGGTTCAACGGCTGGGAAGAAGTGTTGGTTGCTTGCTACTTGCTCAAGTCTAAGAGGCCAAAGTAGATAAACTAATGCAGAAAAACTTGGAGCTCTGTCAAAGGTACTTGTTCTATGGACTTGGATTCTCATATGAGCATCCAACTTTGTGTTTCTTCTTTTGGCCTTTTTTATCTTAACATATGTGCTTTATTGTTTGTTTGTTTTGATTTCTGAAAGACCAACACTTGTCACCTTAAAGAAACATCATTTTTTTCCCTTTATGTCTTCATCTTGGGTTTGATTGGAAGGGAGCCGACGTGAGAATGAATCTTTTGAGAAAAAGCTATCTTCTTCATAGTGTAATATCTTTGGGATGGAACACATGATTCCATCCTATTATATAGTACTAGTCATCTGATGTTGGTACAACTATGCAATATGTGTACTTTTTGGCACATAAAAAAAGGGGGAAAAAATAGGGTGGTACGCTCCATGAGGAGAAAAGTCTTTGGGTGCCGATGCTCGGCAACACACTCACATGGTGGTGGGATCCAATGAGATTCTTATACATGGATTTATATAATGAGTAAGTGAATTAATAACATTACGTGATGTGTGTTGCATTTACCTACAAATTATTTTATGCTCTAATATAACTAAAGGAAGCTGGAAAAAAAAAAAAAAAAAAAACCCACTAAAACAATGAAAACCTACAACTTAAAACAACAGAAGAATGGTGAAAACAGATCAAAAATGAAGAGTGACAAAGACCCAGATCAGAATCACTGAAGAAATGGCTAGTTTTGAAAGCAAGATTCAGGAAGACCAATCACAAACAAAGCTACCCATTTGGAATCTCTATCGCTTTGGGTAGACTCAAAGCTTAAAACAAAGTCATGGAGGCTTTCAATAGATGTTGAAGATGAGAAAAGGGAGTTGTGGAAGGAAAGGAGGCAGTTCATTGTCTTGCTCTTTGGAATCGCATTATTATGAGGTCCATTTCAATGGGACCCAACAACAAAATATTAACAGGGGTTATATATCTGACGGTTAAAACAAAAAAGAGAGGATTTTGTAACGATTCCCATGTTTGTTTAAGGTAGAGAGAAGAAGAGAATCTGTGTGTGTCCTTGCTCCTCTGCTCCTCTTACCTTTGCATCTTCTGTGCTTTCTCAACCATACTACTTCTGGATAAGGCCTTAGAATTGGGTCCAAAAAGTATCTTCACGTGTCTGTTCCTGCAATTTTGCAAATATTGAAGGGCCAATA